AGATTAGATACAGATAACATCCTTCCGATCAGTATGTGAGCAATATTTGTTGTGTCGTGCGAAACACACAGAACTGTGACAAAACTTAGGCTGTGAGACAAAGGAAACACTCACGAACGTAGTTGGGGCCCCACAATTTTTTTGCACGACCTTCGACGGCCAACGCCTTCAAACGGCTTCGTATTTTGATATGTGGTCAGTGACATCAGCAACAGATAAATGAAAGCGACATCCGTGCACCATTACGCTGTGATTTCCTGTCGCAAAAGGCTGGGGCACGACAATTCGTATGGTTTAACTGCCCAGAATTCTTAGCCCGGGTCTCCTCCTTTCCTTCCAACAAGATATTGTGACTGAGTGCCTAACTGCTTGTCTGCCTCACGTAGTGAAGGACACCCGTCTGCGGCCTAGCTGCCGATAAATAAAATCGATATGACAGGGACCGCACCTTTTCTGCGTTGTCACCGGCTCTTGTGCCGCCGCTTTGGACGGGTTGCTCGGACCCATCCAAGAGCCTGAAAGGGAAAAACCTGTCAGAGGCGGGTACAGACGCTGCCCAGCTCGGAACTTGGGCGTCACATCACTCAGGACTACAAGACAGCCGACTCCACCACAAGATCGGAGCGGGAGCCAGACGGACACCCTGAGGAAGATCACTCCTCGCCCCAGGCACGCCCAGCCCCGCCCTCCGGCACAAGCCACAGCGACACGCCGAAGAGCACTCAACACCGGCGAGGGGACACGCCGTCCCGCCGCGGCCTGCGTCCATCTCCTCCACTGATCCGAGGGGCGTGGCACCCCCGCTGGTGAGAACGCCTCAGCTCGGGCGTGACTCAGCGCTCGGCGAGGGGCGGCGGCAGCGATGGCCGCCGTGCAGCCGGCGCCCGCTGCACCAGTTGCACCACTTCACCCCCGCTCGGAACTCACTGTCCTGCGTCAGCGGCACGGCGTCCGCCGCCGAGGCGTTGCAGTCGAAGCAGCGTAGCATGGCGCCGGCGGCGGCAGCGGCGGCGGACGGATCTCTCTGGGCGCACAGCGGCGCGGCGTGCGGCCCGGGCGGGGGGCGACGGCCAGCTGGCGGTCCCTCCCTGGCCGACCCGGCGCCAGCGCCGCCAGGGGCCGCCCCTCCGGACGCTGATCGACTCACCTCGGCGGCCGCCGCCGCCGCCGTCGCTGCCGTCGCTGCTCGCCGTGGCGGCACCCTCACCTGGCAGCATGGTGGTCGTCAACGGTCGTTGGCCAGCCGCATCAAAAACCCGCCTCCCAGGTCACGAATCTCCAGAGCGGTTTCGGGGGGCGCGCTCGATAAGGTGCGGTCGATGACGTCTCGGCGTCGCTGCCGGCGCAGCGGCGGAGTCGGCTTCGACGCCGGACTGGCAGCGGCCGCGCCGGTCCGATCGATAGCCGACAGCCACCGCCTCCGCCAGGGGAGGGGCAGCCGGAGGTCACCGCCAGGAGCCGCCGGGGGGCGCCGCGGGACGTGGCCTGGACCGGGACGGGGACCGAGGCCTCGGACGCCGCTGCCGGAGGCGGCGGTCAAAGTGAAGTCGGCATCGTAGCTGTCGGCCCGAGTGAAGCGCTAGAAGTCTGACAGGAGAGACGGGAGGCTCGGGCTTTTTAGCGGTTTCCATGCAGTCTGTAACTTATGCTAAAATGGACTGGACTTCTTCCGGACCGCCTAGCGGCAGGCATGATGCAGCATTTCTGTCCTTCCGTCATATTTATAGCGTGTAATGGCCTCCTCGGAGATAACGAGAGGCGTATGCTAGTGTTCCATTGAAAAATGTGGCTAGTTACGCCAACAATTCGCGTACTTTTGTCATGATTCTTCATTCATCATCTCGTCATCATTTTCATCATCACTCAACAGCGAAAGTGCTATGGTATCTCCAAATCATCTGCACGCATAGTATACCTAAACTAAGTTCCGCCATATACCGGTGAGTTCACAAAAATTGGAGTGAGACCCTTTTCACACAATGCATGTTTAGTTCGTGTCTCTCCTCCATTAGCTGGTGGCCAGTCCCAGCCCCAGACAAACTGCTGGTCGTTAACCCACCAGAACTCTCAACGGACATGTTAACGGATCATAAGCACATGTCCGGGGTAGAGTATCAGTTCTAAATCTCTGGTGTATGTAAGGACAGGCTACCGGCTGTTACCACGCCAAGCTTTGTCCGGAGGCTTGACTCTTACGACACATACAGTATCAGGTGGGTTACCATGATGATCTGCACACAACTCACGTCCAGGCTAGGCTACCGACCCACTTCACACCAGCTCACGGTAGGCTACCGACCCACGTCACACCAGCTCACGGTAGGCTGCCGACCCGCGTCACACCAGCTCACGGTAGGCTACCGATCCGCGTCACCCCAGCTCACGGTAGGCTACCGACCCGCTTCACACCAGCTCACGGTAGGCTACCGACTCGCTTCACACCAGCTCATGGTAGGCTACCGACCCGCGTCACACCAGCTCACGGTAGGCTGCCGACCCGCGTCACCCCAGCTCACGGTAGGCTACCGACCCGCGTCACCCCAGCTCACGGTAGGCTACCGACCCGCTTCACACCAGCTCACGGTAGGCTGTTAACCCGCTTCACACCAGCTCACGGTAGGCTACCGACCCGCGTCACACCAGCTCATGGTAGGCTGCCGACCCGCGTCACACCAGCTCACGGTAGGCTACCGACCCGCGTCACACCAGCTCACGGTAAGCTACCGACCCGCGTCACATCAACGCAGGCCTGGTACAAAACGCCGATCACGTTCTGAAGTTCTCGGCTTTTGTTTCATGAGACTCCTTGTGATCGAGGTGTTCATAAATAGCCAGGCCCGCAGTGCAACACATATCAGAACCAAAAGGCCGACATGTTTTGCTTGTGTCACGTTTCAATGAATGAATCATCATTAAATGTGTGAGACGAGAGATGTCTGACGCAAACCCATCAATCAAAATGTACCGTTAAGTGTCGCCCTATTTCACTTTCATTTTTTGTTGTTGCAGTTGAATGCTGCGCTTTTTCACGGGACTGTTCAATGCCTTAAGTTGCCTTGCTTGCCTTGTTAATTCAAGAAATGAAATACTCTCAGGAAAGTACTGTAACCAGATAGATATTAAGAGGACTACAAAATGGAAATGAAAAACGCGGGATATCCAATTTATAATACACAAAAGTTGCGCTCTTTCGTCTCCCCGTTTTCCATTCTTCACCTATTGACAAGTATACATGGTAAATGGAGCGTAGTAACCGTCCGAAATATTGGCTGTACACGGGGTGGAACAGGCCCGAGAACGCCGTTGAGAACGCGCAAACATCGAAAACACGTTCTGGGCTGCTGGCGACTTGGTGCGGCTGCTGGCGACCGCTAGACATGTGCCGCGTCATATATTCTTTAGATTCATTGATCCCGCATTAGACGCGAAGAAAAGATATTCGCTATTACTTTCTCTGGGAGCTTCCAGAATCCCGTGTGACAAATCATGTCACGCAGAATGCTTGTTTTTTACCCTGCAAGCAAATCCACGCGCAATGGTGAGTGCGTAGTGATAATAGCTGGTCTAAATGACACAATCAGCCGGCGAAAGAACAATGGGCGAAAATCCCACCGCAATCCGACCATTCCACGTGATTGCCCAGCGGTTGCAAGCCGGCGAAACACCGACGTGTCCTGATGGGGCGTGCTTCCGGGTAGGCGGGGGCAACAGCGGGTGCTAAACTCCGAGCCTTTAAGGGTCTATTGTGCCGATAGCTTTGCATAAACTAATGAACCCAGCATACTAACACGGAGCCATAGGGTGGAAAGCGCGAATTTGCCACACAGAGCGAAGCACAGATGTGTCGGAAAGGTCATTACGACATGGGTCGTATAATGTCGTCTGTGATCGAGCGCCAGTCTACAGTGACGCTCTCACCGACCCTTCCCTGAAAACGATGCTGTAACATCAAATGGTAAGTTTCTAACCGCCAGTATACGATGTCGAGAAGCAGGTCTACACAATGGCGTTAAGCGTTCCGCAAACTGTCCCCACCACATCGGGTTTCTATTCCCTTTTTAACGCCTCCATGAGGCCACGCACCCACCGCACCCCAGATTGACACAGGTGTAATTGAGCAGCGATTGTGAGCATGCAGAGTTCCCACGCTGGCATGTGGTTATGTAGCGGCCGAGTTTATCGGCATGCCAGACTGAGCGGAACGCTGGCCGCTCACGCTACCGTGATGGCTGGCAGATCGATGGTGGCTGCAGGTCGCGTGCGGCCTCGAGGTAACTCCCCGCCTGACTGCGATGCTAGCTATGCATGAAGCACTGCAATAATGCGATTTCCTGTACAGTTAAGAGTTGTGGTGGGGTGGGGCGAGGGAACGAAGCCCCCGACCGCCTTGGCGGACTTAAAACCCGTACCTCAACTCATCTTAAGTGAAAAAGAATCTGGAGCCGGTCTAAGCCTTGGAAAAGTCCAGTTTTACCAACTGAGCTTTTCGGGTAAAGGTTCCGCTTTTCGTCCATCTGCAGCTACCTCACTCCGCGTCTGCCCTAGACCAACTTCACCTTCAAGTATTTCGTTGGAAGCATCCACATCACTGTACTTAGACGCCTCCGAAGTACCGAAAACCTGAAATATAAAGCGGTGCAGCGGTGCCGAACTTGAACATAGCTGAACTTTGCTGCAGTCCATTCCGCGGCCGTCTCCGTTCAGCGTCGTCATTTCTGGCTATCCGATACGTTCTTACAAGCCCTCCCAGGACACCAGCGCCGCCTCCTCACACCGAGAGGTGACGCACACGCCACCTGCGCCCCGCGGCGGGCTCAGCGCGCCCAGCGCCACCCACGGCATCCCCCGCCCGCGCAGTAAGTCAGCGGCCACCCGGCGCTCCCGCCGGCACAATGGCGGCCGGCCGCCCCGGCGCGACACCAGCGCCACCTGGCCCGCCGCGCCCCGCATCGATCGACGGGCTACGCGGCGACGACTGCATGGCGGCGGCCATCGCTGACATGACCCCAGCCGGCCGTGCTGACCCCGAGACTGAGCCGTAGCTGCCGACCCGCCGCCCCGCGAGGCGCGGCTGCCTCCGTTCGCGGTGAGTAGCTCGCGCGGGCCAGCGTCTGCCTCGGCGGCCGCGTCCACCCAGCGTTCTGTGTCGTCCGCGTTGTGTTGTTCAGCGGGCGCCGCTCGCGACGGATGCTCGGTCGGCCCGATCAGAACGAGGGCTGCTGGGGTTTGGGAGGCGTCTGCTAGGGGTTTTGGGGGTCGTGCGGCTCCTTTGTGGTGCCAAGCAGTGAGGTACGTGGTTTTGGGTTTGCGTAGTGCTCGCTCGCTTGGTGCTCTAGAGTGTTCCAGTGTTCACCAGACGAATCGTGCATAATGGAGACGTTGCGTGGGTGTTTGGGGAGGGGCCATCTACAGCGCGCCCTTGTCCGACCTCTTCTGCATGGGATTTCTTTTTTCAAACGCTGGTAGGATCGACTTTTTGCATGGCGGGATGTTTGAGCCCATTATGTTAAGCAAATGCCGTGATTCATTCAAGGTCGGAGAGCGGCCTTTTATTTACAGTGATACCGATTACGCCCTCAAGCTTAATAATGGCGGCCTATCTTTCCATGTCTATACTTTTGTGAAGAAATTAAGGCGAGGTATTTGTATCACGGGTGGAATAATTTTCCGGACTATCGTTGTCGACCAGTGCGTTAGTACATACACAACGCCTCGGTCAGTTCACTCTCCGGCCACCGCTAGGTGTTCTGGTGACCTGAGAACCTTCGGAAACGTCGTACGCATGCTAAGACACCAGACGAGGACGAAAGTCCGACTGATTTTCCGAACGCGATGTCATAAATACCGTTGGATGAACATAAAGAACGTCAGCTCCGGTTATGTCTGCCAATCAACAGCACGAGATACCTTTAAGCTGTCATAAAGAATGTGAGCTAAAATGAATCTTAGGAGTAGACAACATGTCTAGCCCTCTGATACACTGCAGGCGGGCTTGCGCTGTGCTGAGCTGCTCAGCCGCGCTGCGCGACGCAGCGTCGAGACTGGCCCGCCGCACAGCGGTGCAATGCGGCACAGCCTATGCCTGCAGCGCGCAAACGTCGACTGAGTGGAGCGGCAGAGGCGGGGGAACTAAACCATACCAGGAAACGGACTATAGTGCCTGTTTTGCGAGAGAAGAAGCGGGCGAATGGCTTTTACGTGGGGCATGCCTCTTAAATCCGTTTTGGTTACAACGACATGGGGCTGTTGTTAAATTGCTCCCAAGCTGCCAAGCTAACCCTAGGCTGGGCCGGAGGTGGCGGCTGTTACCGGCCTGACACTTCTTTCCCGAGCGTTTGTCATGCATCGGCACATGAAAGCTCTAAAAGAAAATGACGGATTCCGTGGATTATAATCTCCATTTATGAGAGTATGTGTACATTTTAAACACGGGCGCACAACTCCTTTTTACGGAGACACGTTTAATTTCTGGCGTGATCATTGGTCCTGTATCATGCTCTGCACTCGAGATACGAACGGCGACACTTATTATGTGTGCTGGGAGCTTTTCAAACGATAACGAGAGGATAACATTTTGATTAGCCACTTGATGCAAGGGTGCGCTAGTTGTGCGAATACGTGACGTACACAACACTTCAATACATGGGTAAAAGTTTCACGTCCTTGCCCGTCAAAAGTTGAACACAGCTGAGCACCTGAAATCGACCAAAAATCATGAGATATTCATTCCATCACAACGTCGCTGAAATGGTATCACACCGGAATCGTGTCTTGAAATTCATCGCAGCATAAGTTTAGAAATGACCGACTTGTAAATGACATCATTCGCGTTTTAAATGTTCGCACATAACACGTGTCCACAGCAACTGAGTTCAGAACGGCTGATGCAATGCTGAGATCGAACCGAGCCGTATCACGCCGCGCTCTCAGTCTTCGCTTGAGGCTCTGTTCTGACCTCAGGTCGGAGGTCTATGCAATCGATCAGCGATTGGCCGCCCAAAACAACCCCGTGGCCACTCATGCCCGCCGGCTGAGCCCAGGCACGCGGCGCACGCATGCGCAGATGTCATCCATCGTCGGCTTTAGTGCGGAGCGGCCCTCCGTCTACAGCGCGCCCCCCCCCCCCCCACCCCCCCCCCCCCCCCACTCCCCTCACTTCAGAAGTGTTGAGAAGTTCGCTCGAGTGCCTCGACTCGAGCTCATGACTGAAGCTAAACATGTAACGCGCTCACACGGATCAATGTCGCTGCATTCACGCATGGTGTTATCGCACTCAGGTTCGCTGCTAACGTACAGAAACAGACGCATCAAAACGCTGTGCTTGCTTACACATCAGTCGTGCACTGGCCACTCGGACACATGTATTGCGAGCACTTCAGTAAGCGAACTTCCCGTCGCTGTCAGCGCCGTGTGTTGTTCCGATAAGCTGCAGACAGCAGCGGTAGTCGGCAGACGCGCATAGTTGCTCGATCTCTCCTTTTTCTATAACGAGGCCCTGGTGATGGTCGCGGTGTATCTCAGCATCGGCCATCAGAACTGCTTCTAAATGTCTGCCTCACGGATGTTTCTGTCGGACATATTTTGGAGTTCGCGCGACGTGTGCAGCCGATCAGAGCGGCTGAGACCACGCAAGCTGTGACGTCAGCACAGCACACAGCTGGCGGCCGGAAAACTAAACCCGGAAGGCCAGTAAGCTCTCGAGGACTGAAATATTGACCACTTGCGCTTTGATTTTGGCCATAAAGCTATTGACTTAAACGCTGCCGTAGTGGAAGTAATACCAGGTGGTTCACGCCTCCTGCTGGGCCCGGATTAGGGTCAAAACTAGGGAAAATTATTACCTTAACAAAACGAAAGATATCTAGAACATTTTTTCCCTACTCCCGTCTGAAAACTTACCGGCAATAATAAGCTCAGTTCTCTATACCAATAAGATGCCATACACGGCGTAGGAAAAAACAAGACAATATCAGATATGAAAGCTGTCGTTGATGCCATGTCCTGTACTCTACTGTACCCTGCCAAGCTATTAAAACCAGCCACCTAGGGCAACTGGTGCCGACATCTCTCATCAGTGTGTTGAAATGTCCACATTTCATGATAATTTGGTAGGCACCGGGAAGAAAGTTCACTGATCTAGCATTCACGTACTAAAAACAACTAATTTGTTTAAAACATGAGCGGCCGTGAGTCCGGCCAAATCTGTTTATTTCCGTCGTGACACCAATCACTTTGCAATGACGTACGATTTTTTCAGTGGTGACCTGGATATCAAAAACACAAATTATTTTGAGTGGATATCGGTCGCAATGAACAGGCCCATATGCCTGCGTGGTTTCAAAACTAAATCTTTTTCGGTTAAGGTCACGGCGTCCGGCATTTGAGATCGGTTTTGGAAAAGGTGGCGTTGACCACTTTTCAGTCGCTCGCTGGAGAACAGCATGACAAAATTTGTTCACTTGGGTTCCACAAAGGCCAACACTAATTCATGCTATCAAACCTGTCTACTCCGCCGTCCCAGCTTGCACCGCACTTTCTTTGCTGCTAATACGTTGCCCTTCGACCCCGAATCCTCACAGCCTGACCCGCCCGCCCGATGTGCATTGCCGAGGCGCTGGGTTGACCACCATCCGGCTCGATACTGATTGGTCGATCCTGAGCAAGGGGAGGGGCAACAGCCAGTGTAACCCACGGCACGTTTGCAATACCATGAGACCATGTCGGTCTCGTTGGCACCCAAATGCCCGACCTTTGCCACCACCGCCGGTGGCGCTATGTGCCGGACGGTTTTTAAGGCCTGCAGCAGGTTGTAACCGGTACATTTGCCTACGCGTTGCAGTTTGCTTCACGCTTTCATCTACTCTAGCTGCTGGGATCCAACATTCCTTAAAAAAACAACATTCAAACCGGGTGTACTCACGGCTTGCGCAGGAGAACACGTGACGTCTGCATTCATCGGGTCATACTCCTGCTCATGCGATTGTCCGTTGTCTCCCCGGTCAGAACGTCCCATGTCGCTGCGACAGAGTCGTAAAGATCTAAGACCGGTTCAACTTTTGTTTTTCGGCTTTCATTTGGAAAACAGCTCCTTATTAATCAAATGGGGAGATGCAAATGATAGCAATTTTTCAACGTGACATAAATAACTTGCCTTGTCAGAACGCTTACATGTAAATATGTGGCAATTCATACAGCACAACTGTTTACATAACTAAGCCTTTTTCTGCTAAAAACACGGTGAGCCTGCAGCCAGCGGTTGCAAAGATATTAGTTTTCAGAAAATGTCTGGAGGCCGGGCGGGCCAGGACTGGGTCGCTCAAGTCGAAATTATTCTCGTAACTCAAGCAAGACCCACCAGCTCCGCGGCCTCGGTCGCAATACATCGAGAGAATATGTCGCAACATTTTGCGTGGCTAACTCGCATTGGCTTGCTCGTTCCCTTTCAAACGAGTGCAGGGAATCGGGGAAAAAGCAGGAAGACAGGAGACAGATAAAAACCAGCATGCATTAACTGGGGCGAGAAGTCCATCCCAGCACACGATTCAAAGCGGTTTCTTGCCGAGGACATCAAACCGTGTTGATGTGCAACTGCAGCAATAAAGCGAAAACCGACGTTGCAATCTGGTTGGAAAAACTGCAGCGTTCCACTCAAATTTGGTCCCCCCCCCCTATTTTTTGGCCGAAGTAATCAAGGCAGGCTGTTAATGGTTAAGTACGCATAATAACAGCACGCTTACTTGTATTTGCCAACTTGTAGTTTTAGTAAGAGAAGAAAGGTCGACTTGCATGGATTTCCTTGTTTTTGAGGCAATGCCAGAAAAATAATTTGTCAGGTTTTGTTTGATGACGTATTGCAAAAACATCTTGAACGTTCAGCGTGCATTCAAATTTCACACACTACTAATTATTCTAGCTCTCAGCTGTGATGAAAAAATAAATGATGATTATTGTATTATTGTGATTATAACAACTTTAGACTTCGATGCACAGCACTAGTTAATGCCGTGTAAATTTGTAGCTTGAGCAGAAAAACGCAAAGTAAATGAAATATCAATAAGGAAGTTGTCAATTCCTCGCCCAAACTTGGGACGCATTGCAAACCATTCTATGGCCAAATTACGTTTCCGATGATTGCAAAACCCTTACTCGACATTACAGAAAGCGTTTTAGCACACACTAACACAGCGCTGAACTTCAACGAAGTGCTTTCGATTCATTTATGAATCAATGTACTGGAGTAATCTATGATTGTCTTCTAGAGTAGTTGACTCGAGCCTCCCAACTGCGTTGAACTTAAGTATTGAAAATTATAAAGCAATGCCGTAACTCAGGGTCTGTCTTGAATTATAGTTAGATAATTGTCACTGGCTATCAAATACATCGGACTTTTTCAAAGTTGGCCATTCCGGAGCACGTTTATTTCAAGAATACCAACCCTTCTTCACGCAAGCAGGTGGAAAATATAGCCGGTATGAAAGGCAAATGCAAAAGAATGCAAAGAAATAAGAGAAAACCACCTGCTCATGTTAGCGCTTTCAACTAGATTCAACCCGAATAGCCAAGACGTGTCGTTTTGTCTCGAAAGGGCATCCATTGCAATCATATCATACCCGTGTGGCGGATACAGAGTGTCATTTGAGAGTTTGGAATGCATTGCTGTTCAGTGCGTTAATGGATACCACCACCCGACTTGGCTTCTGTTATTTTACATGTGTTTGCAACTGTAAACACCTGTATTGCATTGTGATCGTTGTAGCCTCAACTTCTTGGGAAAATCGCATGGGAAGCGGGTTTCTGATGAACCGTATCTGAACGGTGTGGTAGTGACGAGGAGGCTTATGCTCGCTGACCCACAACAACTTCCAACATATGTTCCTGACAGAACACTTTGCACTGTATTTTATCTCGACAGTAGAACGTATTGACATCGAGCAGCGTTCGGTCACGAAACCTCCAACCATTTGCTGGCAGTTTATCTGACACCACAAAGCTGAGAAGATGTACCGTATAAGAACAAGTCACCAATACCACACGATGTTTTCAAACTTAAGTGCAGCTTTTCACTGTTAAGTAGGCAGTGCCATTTTATACATCACCTCGTGCTGGGCTGCATACCACGCACAGGGCCCCGAGCGCCCCATGACCACAGGGCGAGCCCCTGTTCACATCCCGTGACGCGTGCGAGCTAAGGCACCGACCAGTACAGGGTGGACTGAGTTCGAGCCGCTTACAGCGCAACAGCGTGGACCGGCTGCGAATCGAAGCCTTACGGCATAAAACAGAACCTGAGCGTATGTGCTGGCTGACGACGCCCGTAAACGCCCATAGGCGTTTTGGGACGGTACTGATCCGGCTGGTATGGTTCAGGTAGCTGAATCAATTCATGTTTTGAGTCAGACGCGCTAAATGCAAGCAAGCTAATCGATCATAAATATAATAGATATGTATATAATACTCTCTGGAACATTTGCTTCTCTTTGATTATGCTAAGGATGTGCGGAAGATATGAAATGGTTCTGAAAATTAGGGAACGGGAGAAACCAATTCCCTCGTCCGTGCTTGTGAGCATGGTGGACATAAATAGCGAAATCAGCGGGAAAGCAGTGTAGGTTACCCATCTGGCACGAAACATCTCTGCCAAGCTGGCAGCCAACCTGTTCCTTCCGGGTCGGAACAGGGCGCTGCCATTCTTGCCATTTCGGCCTATAGGCTGTGCGGGAGACGGAGACACTCGGTTCTCCGCTTAATCAGACACTGCTCGTATGTCGCCTGTGACTCCTTTAGTCTTGGCCTCAAATTCAAGTACAATTATTAATGTTCGCACGTGGGCATAAATGCATACACGAACGTACATTGTTCGCACGTGAGCGTAAATGCATACACGATCGTACATTGCTCGCACGTGGGCGTACTGCTGGATTTGTCCATTGCATGAAACTTTATGTATGCATATGTCACAAAACGATGGGAGGAAAACACTGATATATAATAGACACGCATCATTATGTGTTTCTTTTTGTTTCGGTTCCCTTGTCCATGAAGGTATATAGCTCAGGACAACACTTCATGCATGAGATACAAGACCCATTTCATACAATGAACTTGCATTCTGGTGTGTCCAGGACGGACCATTTCTTAAGTGCATTTAAACCATTTACACCTCGGTTGTGGCCACAATTTGCGTTAGATGGCGATAATACCGCAAAGCAGCCAATGAAAACTTTGTAGCCCATGGCTTTCCCCACCCCACTCCATCTTCCCCGCACTTAAAGGCCCTCTTGAACGTGGTGGGTTTCCGGGGCAGAAATTACCAGCGCTTGTCGGTGATTTAATGCGCTCTTGCAGGGCTTTTAAACGTCAGAAGAAGTTCCTGCGATACATCAAAATAGGATCCAGAGTCTAAAAAACGTATTCTGCGTCCCAAAACAGAGAACGTAGAAGACGGACGACCGGAGAAGAGGGATCCCATCGACTGATAGGGGCTCCTATGACCTGGTTTGGCCCCTCCTGAGCCAAATTTTGGTTACGCTTCTGCAGGAATAGCCAGTGCCACCTTGAACTTCGCTTACGCGCTTCTCCAAGTCCCAAATCACCATGCCCTCCAATGAATTCAGCAACCGTTCCCTGAATATGTTCGAGATAGAATCAAAAGGTCATCGCAGACGGACTGCCTGAACAGCCAACTCTTTTCATCTGTGAAGTGCATTAGGTCTGTCGGAGTTAAAGTTGAAACGGCGAAACCAATCACCACCCATTCGCTCATCGCAAACGAAGCGCCGACGAAGCGCTGAATGGCCAAAAGCCGCCGCCCACGCCGGTGACCAATCATGGAAATCAGCTAGTAACTGGCAAAGTTAAATCCGAAAGTCAAGTCATCTTCCTCATGCAATTATCACCCACGTGTCGCGTGCGATGTCGTTAGATGCTTGTGTTCGGAAACGATTCACCGCCGAAGCGTATCGGCGGCGCTCGGGTGCTGCCGCCTAGCGACCATTTTGTAGAACCAGACCCTCTCCTCCTCGCTAGGAGATGGCGAGTTCTTATGCGAGCTCGTTAGTTCTTGAGTTCTGGGAGCACGTCGATGAGCCCGTCTCCCCACCTTTTATCTCTGAGAAGCGTCAGCTAGAATCTGGATATGTTCGTCTGTCGATAGCTCACTGGTGACCGAAACCCAACAACGTCTTCCTTGTACTGTAACTGCCAAAGAAGTCTTTATCTTGAATTGTCGCACGTGTACGAGATGCCGGCCCTCCACGAGAGTTGGCAAGATGCAGTGAAATGTATTGGATGGCGATGTATATTTATTCCGATAAAACACTATTTTCATTGCTGTTTCACTATACTTACATAAATTCAATGCGATGGACTAGGTGTTCTTAAATGCTATTGTCCTGGCTTTGCATGACGTCTGTCCGGTGTCCTTTCTCTACCGATTGCCAAAAACGTTCCGGGGCACCAAGCAACGTTGCTTGCCTTATGGCACAGCGTTCCATTCCGTCTTCGACTCCTCGCCCATCATGTGGGTCCACCCAGAGACCGCACAGCCGAGGGGCCCGCTTAGCGGCTGCGCCGGATGCCATGACCGGACCGGACCTGACCTGACCTGACCCGGCCCGGCCGTTACAGGGGGATGACCGAAGCTGCACACAGCCGCAGCGGCAGCCGGCACCGGAACCTGGACAGCTGGTGTCCGGGTGAAAGCAGCTGCAGTGAACGTTCCATCAACGAGCGTGACTTCCTCGCCGATGTAGACTACGAGTGGCTCTGCGGGTGAGTGGACCGCGTAGGCGCGCTCTGCGGGTGAGTGGACCGCACAGGCGCGCTCTGCGGTGAGTGTGGACCACGCAGGTGCGCTCTGCGGGTGATTGGACTGCACAGGCGCGCTCTGTGGGTGAGTGGACCGCACAGGTGCGCTCTGCGGGTGAGTGGACCACGCAGGCGCACGCAGACACGCTCTGCGGGTGAGTAGACCACGCAGACGCGCTCTACGGGTGAGTGTGGACCACGCAGACACGCTCTGCGGGTGAGTGGACCACGCAGGCACGCTCTGCGGGTGAGTGTGGGCCGCGCAGGCGCGCTCTGCGGTGAGTGTGGACCACGCAGGCGCGCACTGCGGGTGAGTGGACCGCACAGGCGCGCTCTGCGGGTGAGTGGACCGCACAGGCGAGCGCTGCGGGTGAGTGGACCACGCAGGCGCGCTCTGCGGGTGAGTAGACCACGCAGGCGCACGCAGACGCGCTCTGCGGGTGAGTGGACCACGCAGACACGCTCTGCGGGTGAGTAGACCGCGCAGGCGCGCTCTGCGGGTGAGTGTGGACCACGCAGGCGCACGCAGACGCGCTCCGCGGGTGAGTGGACCACGCAGACACGCTCTGCGGGTGAGTAGACCACGCAGGCGCGCTCTGCGGGTGAGTGTGGACCACGCAGGCGCACTCTGCGGGTGAGTAGACCACGCAGGCGCGCTCTGCGGGTGAGTGAACCGCGCAGACACGCTCTGCGGGTGAGTGTGGACCACGCAGGCGCACGCAGACACGCTCTGCGGGTGAGTGAACCGCGCAGGCGCGCTCTGCGGGTGAGTGTGGACCACGCAGGCGCGCTCTGCGGGTGAGTGTGGACCGCACAGGCTCGCTCTGGGGGTGAGTGTGGACCACGCAGGCGCGCTCTGGCGGCGAGTGGACCGCGCAGGCACGCACTGTGGGCGAACGCGGGCTCTGCGCGGCTGTAAACATCAGGAAGGTCCTGCGATAGCGGGGCTTTTGAATACACTGTTACGAAAGGCTCCGCACAAGGCCGGTCTCGCGGTCCCAGACCACAGGCGGTTCTGGGTGGGCACATTTCGTGGATGCACCGAATACTTTGGTCGATGATCAGCCAATTCTGCAGGTGCGCACCGAAAAACCACAACAGATACCAGCATAGGCATAGACAGCGGGCCACTGGAAGAATAATAGCTAGCTATTTCTATTGCAAGGCAGTCTTTCCTTCCGCAAGACTTTTCACTAGGCATGTCGTCAAGGAAAGGTCTCGTCTGCGCTGTGAGACAGCGCATTTGAGACAGCTGCACAGAACAGCGCGTTCTCACTTCAGTAGAAAGTTACGCATTCTCCTGCCACCGGCTATGCCCGCAAATTACACCTCAAACTTTCTGCCCAGTTTACCCTAGCCCGGTCCCAAAAACGAATGAAGAAATTTAAGCGGTTTGGATGTGTGCAGTGCGGGTGAACGGATGATTGACTTGTTGGCTAGATTTACCGACTATATCTCCTCATTACCGACTTCAAGACCACCTCTGAACACAACTGGCCTCTCGTGCGCTCCCTGGCTTACACGGCGCGGTTCAAAAACGTCGCAAGCCACACTTTTGGTAGTCGTAGCTGACCTCTGGTCGTGACGTCACCCTCCACCGGCATGATCGAGAGGCCGCCGGGCGGTCTCGCTGCGCGCGCCCCGTTGATGGGTTGTTGTGACGGTCTCGGAGCGCGCCGCACCTCAGAGTTGGACCACGTAACCGGATTGTGCCCGATTGTGTCTGATTGTGTCCGATTGCGTCCGATTGCGCGTCTCGCGGCGCTGCTGAGCCAGCATAATGGCCGCCCCATTGAGACAAAGTGGCGCCAAATCGGCCACCAATCGCAGTGCGGCCAGATTGCCCGCGCCGGATCGGCGGTAATTTGGCGCGAGTCGTAATTGCGCGCGGCCCACGCTCGCGCGCGGCCACGCACGCGCCGGTGTGGCGCCACGGACCGTCCGGTCAGCTGGTGCTTATCAGCTGAATCAGTCGAGCTTGGGAGCGTCCAACTGGTTCTGCTCGCGGTGATCGGCGGCCGGCAGGCGTGGGGAAGGGTGCACTTTCTTTGAGGTGGTGGGGGAAGCGTCGCAGTGTCCGCGCCGTGAGCTGAGGAAAGTTGTGAGCCAGGCCAGTTATTAAGGCAGAGCTTGAATCGCCTATGCCTGGCCAGACATCACTTTCCTCTCCGGCTTAGTGTCTACAGCTGAACTATGTGGCAGATGTTCAACTACTTCCATCAACATTTGGAACGTGATTATGTACGAGGACAACCTGTATCTAAGGCATTTCGCCGGGGAAAGGATGAACTTCGACCAGCACGACTTTAACAAAGAGACTGCGTCAGCACACTCAGTCACTGAACGGGTCAGGCCCACGAACCAGAAGCGCATCATCACATTTCATCTCAGAGCTAATGGTCTCATAACGGGGCTACCAACGGCCACCAATACTGACAGGCATAATCTGCCGGCCAGAAGGCGCGACCTCGTCACCAAATGCTGATCATTCACTGCCCGGGAGATTTATGCGGTCATGATTTGGACTTGATTCGCTTCGGCACATGCATGAAACGGCCTAATTTCTGCCGTACGGTGCCATCTCACTCGCAGATGTGTCACGCTCGAGCTTAGCCGGCCGTTTCTGCAGGGTGGTCCCACCCGTCGCATCCAGGCCCTCGGGCGATTGCCCCGAGCTGCGCACGCGACGCCGTGTGCGGTCTGGGGCCGCGCGTCACAGGCCAGGACACTAGGTGGGGGTGAGGGTGGGGTGGGGGCGGGAGCTTAATACGCTATCCTCTGCGAGGAGGAACGAGATCGTTTATAGGCACGCCGGAATGCATATGCAAGGCTTCAATATCGTTAAGTGAATGTCAAAGCCATTGCGGCTAACACATCGCCTCGAGTCCTATCCCGGAATGCGTAATAAAAAGATGCTCTTTATTCACAGCAGCGCCGCGATAGCGCCGCAGCTACGACACCGCTCCCCGGCCCGGCATATGCGGCCTCGCCTCGCAGCGGCCGACGCTGACGATTCTCGGCGGCCATGACCGGCTCCCAGCGCGGGGTCCGCTCGGAACGCCACCATCAGCGGCGCGTGCCTGTGTTTCAGCTACGGCTGCGGGCCGGCTCGCGCTCCGCAGGCGTACAGCCCCGATCTGAAGGGCGGGCCGGCGCCGCTGGCTGACGCCCAGCTCTACAGCGAGCTCTCCTACCATGTGGACGCCACGCTGGCCGAGGTAGACATGGAAGAGTTCTACCGCGGCGACATCAACCGCATCCTCGAGATCTCCGGCTACGGCGGCGAACTGTATGAGGTACGGGCCGGGAGACGTGGTGTGGAGTGTGGCTGGGCCTCCAGCATGTCCGCCGAGCCGCCAAGTTAAACGACTGTGTGGAATTCGCTCACCAAGAAATAGCCTGTTTGGTATTCCATGTGATGTCTCGGTTCGGTGGGAAAGTCTACTGGGTGCCCTGGCGTACACCTTCGAGTTTTATGAGAGCCAAAATAGCTATGTCATGACACGAAATATTCCTTGCTGGAACCCACGGCCTTGGTCGCCGGGCGGTAATGCCTTCCAAACCCGGAGGCACCTGGCCGGAGGAGAAATCCAAAAGGTAAATGGACGAATATAAAGGCGAAGAATACTTCAATCGGCAAAAAGCTTATAAAAAAGAAAGGGCTGCGCCCGCCCCTCGCCCCAACCCTGTTTTTTTTTTGTCTGTACTACGAATAGCTCCAGCCATTTACCCCCACTTCTTCGCCGTATTTCCATTTTCCTGAAGAACGATAAAATTCCTTGTTTTAGGGTGTGTGTGCTCTCGGCGCCTAATGCGGCCCGTGCGGGGCAATGCTGGCACTGGGATGTCGGGGCAATGCAGTCTGTCATGGAACGGCATCCCTCGGCCCGCCGTATCTGAACGTCCCTCGGCTCTCAGGCCAAGCGCGGGCTGAAAGGCGCCAAGCGTCGCACGCTGCACCGCATGACCGTGGTGCACTGCGGAACAGTCTAGCGACTTGTGCCAGGAAGAGTCAAACCGTCCATTTCGTGCTCGGATTCTGTTACGCGTTACGTGCATCGGCCATTTTAAGATTGGAGCGACTAATTAAAAAGGCTAAAGTTTGTGGATCTCATGCATCCGTTCTTTTGTGCTTTTACTCACAACATTGACACAGTGAAGGACAAAGTAGCTCCGTCAAAACATCCATCGATCATAAAATGGGTTTTGGAGATTGGTGCGCGGCATATCCCTTCATCAAAACCGGGAAGCTTACGACGCCGCTTAAGCGGTCTCCGGTGGATCAGAATTCCAGGTCTGTTCTAATAACCACCGCAGGCTAAATAGTGTAATCACCATCTGGCTGCACGCTGCTGGTGAGCATCAGCCCCAAAAGAGCAGCGGCTCAACTGATACCGGCGCGGCCTCATTCCAGGAGGAGAAGGAGCAGTCGTCGGCGCTCTTCTCGTCCACCAAGGAGCAGGCGGTGTTCAACACGATCTCGATGGATTCGCTGGACTGCTCTTCGTACGAGGCGGAGAACATAGCCCGCTCGTGCCGCACCAACATGAACAACTACACCATCGCCTTCGAGGCCAGCATGACGAGCAGCAGCAACGACCCCAGTGAGTCGAGCGAGACGAGAATAGGCGAGCGATAAGACGAGGCCAAGGCGGGACAGGGCAGAGCAGCGCACAGCAGGACAGGACAGGACAGGACAGGACAGGACAGGACAGGGTAGGACAGGGCAGGACAGGACAGGACAGGGCAGGACAGGGCAGGCAGGGCAGGGCGGGACAGGGCGTGACAAGGCAGGGGAGGGAAAGGCAGGACAGGGCAGGGCAGGGCAGATGAGACGAGGCCACGCACTAACAGACCAGACCAGACTGGATCAGGCATTAAAATACTGGACCTGAACAAATGTGACATACCATGTAGGGCACACAGCTGGTGCGTCAAAAGTACGTGGTCAACGTCCTGAAACGCCCAGCGGGTATGTGTCCGGACGGCACTCGGCTGCGACTTTGACGACACAACACCGTGGTCCCGTGAAACATGATCTCGTATATTTTTGCAGCTTTACACATGACCTTTAGATAGGAAACCGTGTTTGGACGCCGACATCAGTGGACAGTTCTACAGGAAGAGTGCATGCACCAGGACTCGATCACAGTATATATAAATCGGCTTTATTGGCATCGTACAGAAACTTTGGCACCTTGGGGGCGTGGTTCGTGGGGAGAGGGCAGGTGGGTATGTTAATTTTTGTGCTAATTATGTGAACCCTTTTTGTGAATGGTAAATGTGCTAAATCAGAATGGCTGGAAAATAAGACAGTAGTACTGGCCTTATTTCTAGTAGAATAACCAGCAGAACTGAGAGAGTCCCTCTAACTCTGCATTCTTCTGGTTGTTATACGAGGAATAAAGCTATTAGTGCCCTATTACGTATATGCATAATGCTCCCCGCAAACGCACTCAGCAACTTATGTAAAATGGCCGGAATGTGTCAACAGTGACGCTTGGGTTATTCATGCCAGGTCAACGCCGAAAAACACTGCTATGTTGGAAGGCATTACTCAACGCACCTAGATTACATCGAGGGGCCAAACCATTGTTTACATAGCTTCCTTCCCTCGTCGCCCTACATGGATTCAAAGAGAGAGTTCCACATCTGTATGAGATTTGAAGCCGAAATAGTCAATTTAAAGATCATTCTGTGCAGTCACAACCATACCATTCCTAAGACACGAAGTTTGTCACCCTCTAGTTTGTGCGCTACACGCCCGCGAAGACGTGCAGACCGTTTCGTGCATACTATTTCAAGGCCATTCGAGCATGCGTGGCGCTATAGTGACGTCATCCAAATTCTGCCACCACACAGGCCAGGCGACGTTAAAGGCCAAGGAGAATATCCGTTCATCCGTTCGGATCTGGCGTCCGTGAGGGCGATTTCCAAACAAAGGCAACGTCAATTGGCTCTCGAACAATGTTGGGCACGCTGTGCGAACTTCAGTCAAACTTCAGTCATTCAGTCAAACTTCAGTCAAACACGTTTTGTGCTACATGATATAAGAAATTGAACGTAGTTTCTGCTCTGCCGGTTATTAAGTAAATAAGACTTGCGGTCGAATAACGGAAGAACTGCTCCTTAATCGAGTACTTGAATACAAGTAAGCATCTTCAACTCACACCTCAAGATGCAAGAACACCATGAGAAAGTGCCAAAAACAAGCACATAGCAAGTTTTGGCTTAGCACACACTTTCATCCCTTGCTGCCATCTCTCGACAACTGTGAAGTGCTACAAGGAGCTTCAATTCTGCACGGGTAGTTTGGCAGTACCTCGACGTCATACAAGCGCTCCATGAAACAATCAGACAATGACGTATTCAGGAGTATATTTACTAAACCGATAACTTGTGCTGTCTAGAACAATCTTCTCCAGATAAAAGTGCACCGATAGTAACAACTAAGTTTATTTCCCCATATTGCTTGCTTCAGGAACTTCAAATGTGCAACATTTCCTGCAATGTTCAGCATCCTTGCGAAGTTGGGGTTCCGCCACCCCCACCCACCTCCGTTCCTACGCTTATGATCATGGGCGCACACTCTAAGTTCAGAGTCTGCCAAAGCCAGGGACATGAATGGTCATGAGGTGCCTTTACATGACTTACGATGACCCCCAGCTGATGTCACATCACCCATTCAATACAGTACTGAATGGGGTAATGGATAATAGATATGTATGATAATAGATTATATATATGTATGATAATAGATAATATATATGTATGATTATAGATAATATATAGGTATGATTATAGAAAATATATACGTATGATGATAGATAATAGATATGTATGGATGGAGATTATCATATCAAGCTGGTGCGGCCAGCCCTCCGCCGGGGTCTATTTTCAATAGTTTAGTATTAAAGTCATGGTAATTTCACGAATAGAATTTAGTTAGCGACTACACCAACAGAAGCTGCTAAACGCAGTCAACTTTGACTATGCATGTCACCATTCACTTGAAAAGGCAGAAGTTCGCTCAAGTACGATTGCTTTCAGAGATGAAACCCACATGCCTGATTCAGACGGCTACCTAAACACGGAGGCAAACTTTAACCGCCCAGAAGTTGAGACCAAGAGCAGCAAAGTCATGGTGATACGCCATTTCTGGCATTTAGCCGCGCGCACCTGTTGGGCATTATCCCTAATTTAATGAGACACTGAGAAGGAAACCCCACCTTGCGCTGATTAACATATGGTGCCTAATGGCAGACATAAATTTTCCGTCACTCCCTAAGCAGCTCCAGTAACGCGAAGTCTAACCATCTGGAAGCAGCCGCGCTAGACCGGGCCCGTGTATGCATGTCGTGGAGATAGGGGGAATCGTTAACATCCATCTTTTCAGCGGATATGTTAATGTGAATGCGAACAACGATAGGAGTTGATGAAACCCAGAAACATCATGTTGTGGTGCCAATGCTCTACTAACGTTTCTCATGTGGTTGCATGCCATTTTCCTTCATGCCAAATAGCTCCCAAGAACCATACATCAGGGTATAGCGATAATCATGCGATATAGCGATGGCCCTCATGTAACGAGAACATCAATATGATTGTCCAGTCGTCCGCAAACGGCCTTTCATCTCAGCAGATGTCTGTTTCTCGACGAAGACCGCCACGGGCGCGTAGAGCTCGTATTTATTATCGGCGGCGTCAGAACAAGACATGACGCGATCATTACCACGGAATTAGGCTGCCAGAACAGGTGCAGCACGGACCATGGCTCTTGCATTCTCGGGACAGTTTTTCAATTAAGACACAGAAGACACCTGGCAGGCTCGCAAACATGCGAAAGAAGTAGAGCATAAAGTTTTGATAGCGGTTTCTATTTGTCTGACTTATGTGGGGGATGGTTGGGCGAGATTGCCCAGTAGATGTGACCAGCAAAAGCGTTTCCGTGGCCCTCCTGATGTCGTGTATCGAAAGAAGAATGGTTTTGACGACACACGAAACTGTACCCTCGAGCCTGAGATCACCTTCCGCTCCAGGGTGGATCGGCTCCTTGCGATATAAGGTAGCACACGCTATTGTGCTGGCGGGTGTGATGTCATGGTCTAGCGATCCCACCTGCCGTGGAACAGAAAATGCGCTGCGCAAACGAGGTCGCTTCGATACTGGATTTAGACCTCACCGCCGGCCACCCTTGAGATCGGAACCGGACTGTCCGGACCTGTGCGGGCTGCGAATCGTTGGGTTCAGGTGGAGAAGCAGCCTTTCGTGAAATTTCCTCATGCAGGACCAATATCTTTCAAATTGCGCACATAGCGGACCGATGCCCTTTCAAATGCCACGGAGGCTTTTGCTCACAGTTGTTGCCTGCTCACAGTCATCTTCTTCGTGTAAATTCTAACGGGGGCGTCACGGTCCTCAGGACGGGACCCTGCCCCGGTGGACAACGTGGCGGCGCGCTGCCACCAGCCGTTCCACCACTCGGCCGGCCCGCTGACGACCTGGTGTGAGCAGCGGCCGCGGCCGCCGGGCTCCGCGCCGGCCAGCGCCCAGTCCAAGAGCCTGCCGGACGCACTGATGAACGCGCCGTTATCCGGCTCGGTGCTCGTGTACGACGTGAACCAGTCGCAGCACGAGGCCAACACGTCGCTCTTCCGGTTGTTCGTGCGGCAGCGGCACGAGCAGCTGGCGTCGTCCAGCTGCGGCCAGTCGTCCAGCGAGCTGCTGACGGCGCACAGCGACAGTTGCCCCGACTGTCCGATGAAGAGCGAGTCGGAGAGCGAGCCGGGCGGCGAGCGGCCGCCGGCGCGGCTGACGCTGCTGGAGCCGGTGCCAACCGCTCCCTACCGGCCGTCGCGCGCCGCCGTCGCCGCCGTCAAGACCGACTCCTCGTCCAGTGACGCTTCGAGCGGACGCGGCCGGGCCGGCCGGCGCGAGCAGGCGAGGCGCGGCCCGCCGCACGTCGACCACTGCATCCAGACGTCGGCCACGCTGTCCGGACGGCCGTCACCGCCCGGCCGGACGTCGCTCTACGTCTGCTACCCACACTACTCGATGCCGAACCTCCAGTTCCTGGAGCAGTGCCCTATCCAGGCGTCCGTGCATCTGTGTCCACAGGCGCCGCCGCCGGCGCCGGCACGCGCCGAGACCGCCGCGCGCCGCAAGACCCGCCGGCCCTATTCGTGCAGCGATGCCGAGACGCTGCGCGGCAGCAACCTCTCGCACATCCGCGACTGGGGTTCGCTGCGGCTGCTGCTGCCGCGCGACTTCCAGCGCGTGGTGGAAGAGCTGGGGTACGGCCCGGCGGACGGCGCGGCGCCGGGCCGCCTACACGGCGGCCAGTGCGACTCGGCGGCCGAGACGGCGCGCCGGCCGCGGGCCGCCGGCACGCCCTGCCCGCACGCGGCCGACGCGCGCCTCACAGAGTCGCAGCGCAAGGGAATTCTGCGGCGCGGTGGCGCCGGCGAGCGCGCCTGCGCCGCCTGCGCCGCCACCGCCCGTCGCTCGCTGCAGGAGCCCCTCGAGCTTTGGCTGCACGGCGCCGCCAGCTTCGCGGTCAGCAGTGAACGCGAGCTGGAGCGCATGGCCGGCGCCAAGACACCGCCGCGGCTGAACGACTCGGGCGAGGCGGGCAAGGCAAAGCGCGTGAGCTTCTCCGACAGCCACCAGGAGATCGAGGACGGCGGCGAGCGGCAGGACGCGCGCATGCGGCTCGTGTTCGGCGAACGCTCCGAGTGCGTTGTGAAGTCGCGCACGCCCTCGCCGTCGCACCCCAAGCGCGTCATCATCGTCGAGAAGGAGAGCTTCAAAGGTCAGTTTGGGCACCAAACTGGCGGAGAGGGTGCAGTGCGGTTTTTCGTCTTGCGTCACATAAACCTGAAATGTTTTTGCTCTCTCCTACCGCATATTTTGTGGATCTGTACGATCTTACACCTGCACAGTTACACTTGCACTTACACTTATGCTGACACTTTCTCACGTAGCGTAATCTCAATCACTTCTTGCCTGTTGCCACCTGGAACGTTAATTATGCTGATGATGATGCCGACCAGTTCACTCGATGATGATGATGATGTTGATGATTCATGACCGGAGCCAACTTACGGCATTCACCAAGCGATTCATCACACTTGCGGATGGCGTTGATGCTACTGACCACGTGACAACCAGACCTGTGACGATCTTTTCCGCTGCAGGTCTTCTGAACCCACTGATTGAGGCGGTCGACGAGATCGTCTCGTACTTCCAGGAGGGCTTCGACATGGACAACGGTGGTAAGTCGATGCCTGGAGTGTGGCGAACAGAACTGAACGTAAAACTTGCAGAGGAAAGCGATGGCTTGGCCCTGTTCCTCTTACAGCAAACGAAGAACAACTGGTGTATGCTTAGGACTGAGTGTTCTTTGTGCTCGAAAATGTGTTTGGGATGTCTCAGATGTCTTGAGACGGCTAGCGGTTTGCTGTGAAATTCTTGATTTTTGCTGACGCTGGTTGATGTTGTATTACGTCACATGCTTTGGTAACTTACGGTCTAGTATCTGATAAACATGGTGACGAATGATCTGGTGAATTCGGTAACGCAAGGCGACGTACCGTCACGTTGTTACGATGCCCTGGAGTTCCGGAAAGGCCCAGTGACATTTGGGGCAATGTACCGACATTTGGCGACGTCTGGTGAATTTGGTGACGTTTTTCTTCAGGAGGCGGCGGCCACCGTCCGGCCAGCGGTTACCTGGTGCTGGACCGGCTCTGTCCTGCGCTTTACATGATCCTGAGTCATGGTCTCCTGACCACCCTCGACACGGCTTTCGGCGAGGTTCAGAACAGCGGCTGGCGGATCGTCGAGTCGGTCACTTCTCTCGGTGAGTGGTCGGTAGCCGGTTGCCTTGCTCGGTAAGCTGTCGGTAGCCGGTCAGTTCTCTCCGTGAGTTGTCGGTAGCTGCTTACCTTGCTCGGTGAGATGTCGGTAGCCGACCAATTCTCTCGTTGACATGTCGGTAGCCGCTTATCTCGCTTGGTGAGCCGTCGGTAGCCGGTTACGTCTCCAGGTGAGCTGTCAGCAGCCGCTTACCTCGCGTGGTGAGCCGTCGGTAGCCGGTCACTTTGACCTGTGAGCTGTCGGCAGTAAGTTATTTCCCTCCGTAAGCTGTCAGAAACTCGTCAGTTCTCTCGGTGTCTTGCCACCTCCTGGCCATCGTTTCCGTGAAGCACCAGTCGTTGGTTACCTATTTCTTTCAATTATCAATAAATCATCACTTCTTTTATCAACAGTCCATTTAACCCCTTATCTGCTGTGAGCCAGAAGCGATCGATACTGCAGGGCAGGCGGCATTGCTAGTCCAATAAGCCCCCAGACATGAAGAAAGCAGACACAACTGAGGATTACGAAGGAATAGGAGCTGATGTGGAGACACCCAGGGCTACATGGAGTATTGCAGACATTACCAGACTGTCTCTGTCTACGCCATCCTGAAACTTGTTGCTAAAGTTGCTAATGACCTGCTAATTTACTAGGTAACATAATTAACGGAAAAAGAAATACAATTAAGCTTGAATTCTTCATCTTAGCATTATTTCCCAAACACAAGACATATTTCTTCCAGATGCAACGTTCCTGCACGGTTAGACTAGTGCTCATCTGCGTCGTTCTCATTTCCGAACAGGGAGCGTCAGAACTTGCATTATTGCTTTTATTAGACTTAAATGACCGTTAAAGTAAAGTTCTTTGCGTGGTGGCGGAACGGAGCAGCCCCCCCCCCCTAGTTGCCTGTCCATCGGTTGCGGGAAGTAGGGGTGTCGCTTTCTAAAATCGGTTTGCTAAGTCAATAAATTGACCTAACCTGCCCCCAAACCCTGATATCGCTCGGATTTCCAACACGTTGGTTTGCGTCTTTGATATCAAAATTGTAATTTAAAATGTGGTTGGTTCCAAATTATTTTTGTGTTGAAGAATGGCTTTCAATTGAAGACGATGTAATAGTGATAATGATGACGATAACAGGTCGCGATGCGCTTGGGACCTAGCGCACTAGCAGTTCAAGCACTTGCTTCATTTCACTGGCTCAGTATTCTCCTTTCTTCTTTTTTTTGCTCAAATATATAAGGGGCTCAGAAGAGCATTGCGGGGATTCAAGACACTATTGGGGGTTCAGGACCCCCGAGGCATACAAAATGACGCCTCTGGTGGGTAGCTAAGTAGTTCGTGCAGCTAGAAAAAATATCAGTGGCCTCTCTCGGTCAAAGAGAGAAACGAAGCCGGTCCTTCAGTAGGACAAAGAAAGCGGCTTCCCGCGCTCACTGGGCGGAGGCAGGAGCTTCGCTCTCAGTGAGGTACCCGAAGCTCCTTGCGAACCGAGCGGTGCCAACCAATCATCTCGGGATGTTTTTGATGTCCTCCCGCCTGCTACCACGTGATTCGTCGTTTTCAGGAACCTGTCCTCAAGCATTGCAGGATCTGGTGATGAAGCTGAACAACGAAGACGGGCTCTCGGAGGGAGTTCTCAAATTCAATGCATTCATCTTCGGCTTGCTAAAGTAAGTTCAGGGAAACACTGCCTGGCTTTCGGTCGCATTCCGCTTGGAGGTGAGTGAACCATTTTCGCACGTACTCCCGAGACAGATCACCGCTTCTCGGACAAAGATCGTGTCCGGCGCTGGCATAATCAATCCTCCGGCTGCAAAAACACGCCAATAGCCAGGGTGGTCCCGCTAATTACGTTTGGGTAATAACCCGACGCGCATCGCCAGATTGACCTCGGGGACCCCTCTGCATCGGATCTAATCAGGACGGCGTTAGTCTCCGCCCCGCCGGCGCCGGCCGAGCTCCAGCTCGACTCCCGGCCCCGCTCTCGGCTCAACGCCAGGGCGGGGTGTGGCTGGCCAGAGAGCGGTTCAACGCCAGGGCGGGGTGTGGCCGGCCAGAGCGCGGTTCAACGCCAGGGCGGGGTGTGGCTGGCTAGAGAGCGGTTCAATGCCAGGGCGGGGTGTGGCTGGCCAGAGCGCGGTCCAACACCAGGACGGGGTGTGGCTGGCCAGAGCGCGGTTCAACGCCAGGGCGTGGTGTGGCTGGCCAGAGCGCGGTCCACCACCAGGGCGGGGTGTGGCTGGCCAGAGCGCGGTTCAACGCCAGGGCGGGATGTGGCCGGCCAGAGCGCGGTCCACCACCAGGGCGGGGTGTGGCTGGCCAGAGCGCGGTTCAACGCCAGGACGGGGTGTGGCTGACCAGAGAGCGGTTCAACGCCAGGGCGGGGTGTGGCTGGCCAGAGAGCGGTTCAACGCCAGGGCGGGGTGTGGCTGGCCAGAGCGCGGTTCGACGCCAGGGCGGGGTGTGGCTGACCAGAGAGTGGTTCAACGCCAGGGCGGGGTGTGGCTGGCCAGAGCGCGGTTCAACGCCAGGGCGGGGTGTGGCTGACCAGAGAGCGGTTCAACGCCAGGACGGGGTGTGGCTGACCAGAGAGCGGTTCAACGCCAGGGCGGGGTGTGGCTGGCCAGAGAGCGGCTCAACGCCAGGGCGGGGTGTGGCTGGCCAGAGCGCGGTTCAACGCCAGGGCGGGGTGTGGCTGGCCAGAGCGCGGTTCAACGCCAGGGCGGGGCGTGCTGGCCAGAGCGCGGTCCAACGCCAGGGCGGGGTGTGGCTGGCCAGAGCGCGGCAGGGCTGTGCCTGGCCTGGGTGGAGCTCACGATGGCTTTGTTCCGCGGCAGCACCCTCGGCTAGTTTTGATTTTGGATGCAGCTGAGTGGTATTTGAGTACCGGAGACCGTCGACGATGGTGGCTCTTAACCATGCCCTGCTTTAGATGAGATTAAAAAATGCCGGTTGGATGCTGGGGTTTCTCATGTTGCCGAGAGCAATGACATGCTTTTTAACAAGCACCGGCAAACGAACTGACTGGCATGCAACTACCGCGCCCATTAACTACTGCTTAACTAAGGGTTGCGTTAGTTCATACACCTTGGGGTTTGGCCAGAAGGCAACACAGCAGATAGCTGTAGATGGCATATGTATCTCACCCTAGCTTTGCGCTTTCGAATAACTTGAAACAAAACAACGGCAATGTCAGACTGCCTCCGTGTACATTAGTTATCATATTTTTGAACAAGGTACCGTCCTCCACATTATTGGACACATTGCATGGGCGTGGGCATCCCATGGGTCATAATCGCAATTAAACAGGGTCAAGGACAAAAATATAAAAAACTTAGACCGCAGGTGAATAGATAACATTCTCTTATCCCGTGCATGCACCGACATTAGAAACATACAACATAATAAATCGATGGAGCTCTGCCGTACGACCACCCGACACTATCATCCTGTGCCAAGGACTGCGCGAAGCACGGACGGCGAAGCCGGACGGTTGCAGTGACCCACACCGAGTGTGAGGTTTGAAAATGTTGATCACAGGGGTCAGGCACCATGTACATTGTACGGGCAGAGTCGGTGATGTATGCAAGCGCAACACATTCCGAAAGTTGGCATGTTAGCTTGCAGTGATATAATATTAGCGGTTTATATGTGAGACGTTTTGAAACCTTTCGCCATACTTTGGGGAACGATGTGCAGTAACTATAGACTCTATGTCCGAAGACAAAATCAGGACAAGAAAAACACATTGTTCGCCAACCCGGCAAGATGCTACAACACAACAAATAACAGACCAAACAACTTCGGACTTAAGTATCCATTCATGACATTCAGAAACATTTCAAAGGCTACATTACTCCTTACATACGCAATAAACATTTATATGTATAATACGTAACATATATACATATATATATATATATATATATATATATATAAAACAAATATATAAATATATATAATATATAACATATAATGCAATAAAAAACAACGCAATAAATAAAAAAACATACCCTTAATTTTTGGCACTGGAAGTTTATATTCCAAAAAGTTGACAGCCACCGATATCCGATAGGTATTGGTTAACGACGATATCACATCATTACTTGGATGTATTGTGGGAGCACCCGACGTTCCAAGACACGTTTATTGCTTATTAGTCACGAGTCACGAGTCACGAGTCACGAGTCACGAGTCACAAGCTTGAGATCATAAGCGCTACCTGGAATAGTCTAATATTATTATATATCCAAATCATTGATATTTTCGTTTTATCAGTACCAGCTGGCCTGTTATTTATCAGCGCAAGCTTATAATGGCTTCATAACATTTCATGTTGTAAGCTTTGACAAAAACAACCACTATGTCTCCGTACAGAAACCCACCTAGCGTCCGATCACGTGTCAGAGCTGTTGCGTCGCTCGTCTTTGCCACAACAGGAAATTATCGATCATGTCCAATTGAGTGTTGTCGGAAATAAGTGTTTTTCAAAAACGTCTACCGCTTTCGAAGCAAAGACCTCATAAAATGCTGGTCAACATTAATGGGAGCGCTTTAGCTTGGCGTAGACAGTACGTAATAAACCGTGTGTTGTCGAGTTTTCAACATGGAACAAGGGCCGTGGCTGAACGACGCGCGAGATACGCATTGCGGAGGCAACGGCCGAAAATGAAAAATGGAATGGCCAACCGCCATATCATTTAGGTGATGGCAGCATGATGACCAATACACCCGAGTGGTCTACCTGATGACACCAAATATATCTATTCTCTGTTAAGAACTGATGGTGCATTACTTTTCTGCGGCCATTACAACAGATGGTGCCGAATTGTGCTCCATTAGTCGACGTTTTTCCCCGGCCTCGGTCGCTGGACCGGTCTGATATGAACAGACGGTTAGCGCCCACATAGACGATTGGCAATAAATTCCACCTGGCCCGGTGCAAAAAAAAACGCAATCATATGGCACAGAAAAAGGATCGAATAAGCGTGCAGTAGTGGGCAAAGGTCCAACCCATGCGTTGATCTAAGCACGCAACTGAAGCGTTCAGAGCGGATCTTACGCGCGAGGTTAGCGGTGATTACGCGCAAGGCTGCAGTCCGGGTTCGTCCGGCGAACTGGCAGGAGACTTTGTGGCTTCGACAGCCCGGCCCGCTGCGTCCGACCGGCTCCCCTTTCTGTGGCCCGTGGGGCTTTGCTTTGTATTAGCAGCAATGTCCTTTGCGTTCACACGTTTTGGTGGCTATTAACATATTCATCGCGATGTAGAAGGTGTGTCAGAAACCGAACTGATGAATGGCAGGAAAAGGATTTGCCATGTCTGTAGCACGTTTAGGTGCAAGCCTTTTTCAGCAAAAAGTACAATTTTTCCAAAGTTGTTCCACAATATTTGCATTTCACTTGCATGCAAGCTTTGTTAGCTTCGATATACCGATAGCTCAGCTGACCAGAGCCTGCCTTCCGATTCACCCAAGCGTGTTGGTGTGGGTTCGAGCCGCATTAGGACCCGGCCGCCGCTCCCGCCTGGGGTGGCCGGAGTCCGGTGGAGGCGGCCGCGCCAAAGGTCACGTGACGTGAGAGCGTAGCGCGCCGCGTGCCGAGCAGTGCGGCACGTTAGGCTTTCGTCGCCACATCCTGTGGTTGACCCGGAACTCCACGACCGGATGGTGGAGGCAAGACTCACGCAACAGACACTGCTTAGTGTCGTCGCTGATCCCAGAAATGGATCAATTCCAAACGTTTGCGCTGAATTTAGAGAAACTTTTTGATCAGTCGTGGTTTTCTGAAACACTTATGAAATTAAGGAGGCATGAAATTGACAAAATCTGAAAAATTGACCCGGTCTGGCCTTCATTTGTTACCAGATTAGGCTACCCGGTAAAAACGACACGGGATAGACACGATATGATAAAACAGTACCTGCAGGCAATCGTGTTGGCACGTACGTCGCCCTGTGCTTGCAGCAGCACGAGAAAGAAAATCACGGTTTCCTTAGTTTCGGTACGGCTCAAGGTTTTGTTCAGGTATGAGCAGCCAGGGCAGATAAATACCTGAAATTCACGGAACAACGTGCTGGATTGCTTGTCGTCTGTAAGTGTTGGACGCATCCAGCAATGTTTGACGCATGTTAAAACCGGGCGATAGCTGCAATACTTGATAAGGAGCTAGCCGTTGTCAAAATGGATTTTCGGGTTACATTTGCAAGCCATATTTTAAAGATACTTAACATACTTGACACACCAATCATAGAACATGCAGTTCATTTTTTTGTTCAACGCCGTGGCTTTATTTTATCATTCTTGCCGTGCTGGTAATGCTTTGACTCTGTTCTGAATGCGTGCCTGTGACCTATTGGCATGCTATGAGGTTATGAGGATCCATTGGCATGCTAGGACGGTTAACCTCTAGGAAAAGATAGAAAGTTCACCCGATCAGCGAAAGCGGACCCGATGTTTGTAATAAGCCAATCAAGTGACGCCTCGGTTTGCGCGGGGCACTTTCTGGCAACGTTTGAAGCCCGGCCTTTGCGTGGGCCGTCTACTGCAGTGCTACGCAAGTAGCGCAGCATTGATATTTCGGCACACAGTCACAGAAGCATGTAATCTTGACGAGACGTATTCAGGTCAAATACATGAGCAATCGACATTACCACCCCGAAGTTTACTACCACATTCCCATTGATGTCGTCACCACTCCCTCCTTCTACAACATTCTCATCTCTCACATCACTACATTCCACATCCCATGCCCCTTGTTCCTTCGCCTCGTCCCGTTCCTCCGCCTGGTACATCACGTCCACCGGGCGTCACGGGCGGCGGAAGAATAATCACATCCCGGCGTCAGTACGGCGCGCTCGGACACGACGGTGATGAGCTGAGGCGCCCCCGAGCCCCGCGGGACCTCAGGTCGGGCCGGCGCGACACGTACCGGCTGTCAGCGGGGCCTAATTACCGGGCCGGGGAGAGGCTCGCCGGGAGGGTGGCCGCGCCTTCCGGTCATTAGCCGGCGGTGGGAGAGGACGTGTGACACTGCCGGCCGCAGGACGGCTGCGGGCGGCTGGCCGGACACAGACACTCACCGGACAGCCGGGCACGCTCACTCACCAGACAGACGGGCGCGGGCACTCATCGTACAGACGGCACGGTCACTCACCAGACACAGTCACTTTCTGGACAGACGGGCACGCTCGCTCACCGGACAGACGGGCACTCCCACTCACCGGACAGCCGGGCACGCTCACTCACCAGACAGACGGGCGTGGGCACTCGCCGTACAGCCGGGCACGGTCACTCACCAGACACAGTCACTTTCTGGACAGACGGGCACGCTCACTCACCAGACAGACGGGCGCGGGCACTCGCCGTACGGACGGCACGGTCACTCACCAGACACAGTCACTCTCTGGACAGACGGGCGCGCTCGCTCACCGGGCAGACGGGCACGCTCACTCACCGGATAGACAGGCACTCTCACTCACCGGGCAGCCGGACACGGTCGTTTACCAGACAGACGGATACGCTCACGCACCGGGCAGCCGAGCGCGGTCACTCATCGTACAAACGGACACGCTCACTCACCGGACAGCCAAACAGTTTCATGTCACCCACCAAAAATCTGGACCTATCCACTCAACAGCCAGCCAGATACAACCACTCAATAGACAGTCAGACACAGTAATTCACCGGACAGACGGACACAGCCACTCACCAGACAGACGGGCACGGTCACTTACCAGACAGGCTCACACAGTCACTCGCCAGACGGCCAAACGTAGCTGTCGGTGCACGACCACCCGATGGTGCGACGGGGAGCACAGGGAGAGCTCGCGCACGGCACTGCCGGTGGCTTTTGCAACACGGAAGGGCATTGCACAGAGATTGAGCATTGTTGACATGCTCGGTGACCGGTTGAATACCCTTTAATCGGCTGGGGGTCAATATGCCCCCTGAGGTACAAAAACTAAGAAAGCTAGGAGCACCAAAGTCGCATGATGGCTTGGCTGAACTTACTTGTGCCCAAATCGCAGGTTCCTACGTCATAACTTTAGGGTCAAGGGAGGTCAAACAATGTCAAACTTCGAATTTATGCCCAAATTACTCCCAGACCTCTTCATGCCAACACCTTGAAGCTAGGTGCCCGTTCTTGGCAGAAGGTGGGTGGCGTTCATTTAAGACCAGTGACCTTGTTTGGCCTTTGGAAGGTCATGGTAACCCAAAATCATAAGATATTGTTGTGATTTTCACATTTCAATAAGCGTCGAGGATGTCGCTACGCGCCATGTTCCCAAAGAAAAAATGTTAAGCTGGGTCATTTTAGATGAGTGACCTACTCTGACCTTTGATATGTCTATGCAAGATATCTGTTGTGGTCCCTGTTATTGACAATTTCGAAAGGAGCACCAGAAACTACTTCGAACAGCAGGCTCTTGAGTTAAAAAGCAGGTTGGTTTAGACATCGGTCTGACATTTATACCTGACCATAGGTCCATGGATTTGTTGTAATCCTAAGTTTGACTGATGTATTGCCTAAGAAACTATCTCAGAGATGTATGGCTTCGTCTAACATTCCGTCGTCGCATCAGATTGAACGATTCCCTAGAAACTGCCTTTGCTGACAGCCACGGCTTAACTTTCACCTGCTGTAGGTCAGCGACCATGCAAGACACACCAATTTATATACCAAAAGATCTGCCCTTTAATCGTCTACAGCTCCACCAGGTTTGCCGCGAGTGACTGTGCCGCTCAACCATTCTGTGAAAACCTTCGGGGAGGTCAAATTGACCCCTGCTGAGCTCGTGTTCAGTAGCTTGGTGGCCAGATTTGAAAGCTTGAATCAAATCACATCTGTTTGGGCCGAACCAAATGCGGAGCGATGCCGTCTCCGATGCCGGTGCGTGGTGCGTGGACTTGCGTTTACACCGTGGTATAAAAGAGAGGCTACCACGGGCTGCTGCGCTACTTGCTTAGCGCAACAGCCTGCGGCAGCCTCTTCTGATCCAGATGGCACTTTTCTATTTGCCAGCTGTTTTCTTTTGTTGGTGCAGTGCATCTGAACGCTTGGTCGCGACTACCGCCTGCTAACCCGGTTTACTAATGCAAAAATATTTGTGCTCATATTAAAATGAATACCAGTAATAGGAGCGCATCGAAAGTATGGGGCACACAAACGCGACGGCAAGAGGTAAGGATACAGATGAGGGGCACGGAGCTGGGACCTAAGGTGTTTAGGGGTAAAAAGATTAGTGAGCATCGAACAGTATCAGTTTGACATTGCTGAGGCTAATCAGGAGTGCATTTTGATCCGAAGACCAGGTATGGGGTGATATTAGGATATTAGGGTGATATCAGGGTGATATCAGGGTGATATCAGGATACTGTGATATCAGGCCATCAGGCGCAGAAATATAAAAAAACATGGCGGCAATCAGCACGAAATGCCATCCAGCAAACTGAGCACAAAATCCACAATAAGTCGCGTCCACCTTCACCACGACTCACGTGCCGCGTCTGAGCGGACGTCCTCTGCCGGCAGCACGCAGTCCCTGGACTCGTGGTTCTCCTACCTGAGGACGCGAGAGTCGGTCGTGCGCAAGCACTACTCCCCGGAGGCGCTGCTGTACCACGCCAACTGCGCGGCCCGCGCCGAGTACGACACGCTGGTGCTGCAGCTGCAGCGGCTGGCGCAGCTCGCCTTCCATATCGACCTGCTCTTCGAGAGCCGCATGCTTTACCAGAGCCTGGGCCGGCTGGGGGAGCGGCTGGAGGGGCTGGCCGGCTCGTGGCGTGGCGCGGCAGAGGGCGGCGCGCGTCGCCGGCGCCGCCTGGGCCGGCCGCGCAGCACGGTGGACGCGGTGGACGGCCAGCCGGCCGACGCCAGGGCCGACCACAAGCGCTGGAGTGGGCTTGACCTCAGCTCGAAGCTGCTGCAGGCGCTCGATGCCATCCTCTCCGAGAGCTCCGCCAACGAACTCGACGACCGAGACGACGACGATCGAGACGACGACGACGGCGACGACGGGAAAGGTCTCGACGAAGCCGAGGAGGAAGAGGAGGGAGCGAAGGCGCCCACGCTGCCGTCAAGGTCGCCGCTCTCCGTCGGTGAGCCGAAGCTGAAGGCGCGATGCCCGAGCGCCGCCCGCCCCACCAGACCCGGCGATCGCCAGTGCGAGCCCGACGCCGCCCCGAAAACCAAGGTTCTGGCGCCCAAGACCAACAAGGACAAGTTCCACAAGCTGCAGCAGCAGTGGGAAAAGATGGCCAAGGGCCAGACGCCGGGCAGGAGAGAATCGCGTATCCCGCGCCCGGTCAGCGCCGGGCGGCCCGCCTCGGCCTCAGACGCCGGCGTCGTCAGTCGACCCTCTCAGATCCCCAAACCTTCCTCCGGCGGGCCGACCGGCCCTGGACGCAACGGCGGCGGCGGCGGCGAGGCGGGCGGCGGCGGCGGCCTGAAACGGCGACACCCGCGCAGCGAGGCGGCGGCCGGCGCCAGGCTGCTCAGTCCCAAGGAGGAGAAGGACGAGGAGAACCGCGCCAAGGGCGGCCGGGCAGCCGGCGGCCACGGCCGGCCGCGCGAGTCCCGGCTCCGAGCGGCGCGCGAACCAACGACGCCCGGAGCGGATGGGAAGCCGACGAAACGGTACGTGGGGCATGATGCGCGCGGGCGGGGAGCGTACGGAGCGGTGGGGGAGTGGCAAGCGGGTAAGGAGGAAGAGATGCCGGCTTTAGGTCATAAAAAGTTCTTCTACAGTGACAGTACCTTCGGCATGGCTGGTGGTCGTTGATTTTGACCGACTCGGTCGCTCCATCCTGTGGCGGAGGCTGGCCTGCACATAACCATACCTGTTGCAGCGCACCTCCTCCGCAGCACGTGGCGGTCACCGCGGTGGTTGCTGGACTCACTGTGACCGTGTTGCAGGGTCCGCTCCCTGGCGCACTACCACGCGTCGGACCGCAGCTACCTGTCCTACAACCGGCACGACGCCATGAGCGTGGTGGGCGTGGTCGACAAGGACTGGCTCCTCTGCGCCCGCAACGACCGCGTCGGCCTCGTGGCTCGCAAGAACGTCCTGGACGTGCTGTGAGCGCGCACGCGAGCGGGGGCGCTCTGGGCCCGCTCCGGGCGCGCTGCCGCGCTCTGAGTGGTCTAGACGCGCTCGAACGCCGGCGCAGCTCTGCGCGAGTGACCGGCGGCTCGAGAGGACGGACTCCTCTGCGCGGGGCCGCAGCAGCGGTCGAATTCAAACCTCGTGGCCAAAGCTTTTCCGTGTAGGCTGTCATCCGCGCCCGCCGCCGTCTCCGTGTGTAACCGCGCCAGCTGCTCTCCCGTTCTCTCCTCTCCTGTCTCTCTCCTCTCTCTCCCCCCTCTCTCTCTCTTTCCGTCTCTCATGATCCCATCGTTGCACGTCTATATAATCACCCCAGGCGAAGTCGGAGGACGGCGCGCGGCGATCCCCGGCGCATCTGCGGGGGACGCACGTGCCACAGACACGGCCCGCCCGTCGGCCACGGACTGTATTCAGCATGGGGCATTGGGTCCGGCGCAACACATGATCTCTGGTGTATCGCGAGTCATAGTGGCTAGGAGCGCCTCCACGGAAACGTTCTGTCAGCACTCTTGCGGAGGAGCGGCGACGAATCCCCGCAGGGAGGGGAAGGGGCGCGAGGTCGCCCTAGCTGCGAGAGCGGGGAAAACGTGCAATGTCCGCATCCCGGTTGTATGCGTTTCTCTTTCCAAGTGTCGTCGCGTGCTCCGTTCTCCTGTATAGACCTGCGGAACTCTGTGTTCGTGATCGGTAGTCGGCAATAGGTGCGTTTGGTTCAGTGCCGTCCCACGAATTAGTGAGCGCATCCTTCGCCGCGCACAGTGCATCTGTCGATACTTTGAGCAGGCAACTGCACATACGCATATCTTCTCGCCCATTTCTGTTTGCCATGTCTATTGTTCCAAATGGAGTCGATAGTAAATACATATACATTTGCGACCGGAGGCTAAGCTTTTCAATCACCTGATGATCATGCTGTCCTCGAAGGACAACGCTGCCGAAGCATTAGTTGTCGGATACTGAATGTTTACATACTTATGGGTCAAAGTGGATATACATTTGATTGCATTTGGAGAAATTTCTACGTGAAGTGGTACCCATGTCATTCAACGCAGGCTGCCACCTAAAACGAGGTGGGGGTTGAATTGATATGAACTAGCCAGCAGAAGGAATGCTTCAAGAAAACACACACACACACACACACACACACACACACACACACACACACACACACACACACACACACACACACACACACACACACACACACACACACACACACACACACACACACACACACACACACACACACACACACGTGTCTAATAGTTCAACTGTCATCAAAACGGGTGTGTTTACGCCGAAAAGCGGTGGAGTACCATCTCGCTGTAAAACATATAGGGGAGCAAGACAAATGGCTAAACCTTCTTGCGGAACATGCTCTTGCTTCAAAGTTAGGAACCCAAAGGATCACACCATGAAGTATTTTCCACTCGCTTGGTGACATAGCCCATTCTCTTGGTAGCAGAATGCTCATATCTATCTGGTGCCTTCAACCCGTGCAATCCCATTCTGTGCATTGGTCCTTGTAAACCACTTCCAGCCGACTAACGACACGCAGAGGTGAAGCCGCGTCTAGCACTCACCGAATTAGCGCTGATTTGCACACGACGCTCGCACGCGTGTCTCAGTTAGCAAACCCTTTAGCCTCGAACGTCAGCCGTCGGGGAACACGGGTGCAATGAGCAAAGACAAAGCCCAACAGTGCGAGCTCCCAGCGGCGCAAACGCCTGTGACTGTCGTACCGCTGCGCGACGCCCGGCGTTTGCTGTCATTTGCTGTCGTTATGTCACTCGCGTCGTCCTCGGAGGCGTGTTTGAAACTGCCCCCGCTCGGTGGCTCAGGATATTCGGCCGGCGGGCTTCTCCTGCCGAAGATGAGTACGTCAGATCTGTCATTCGTTTTTGTAAGTCGCTTACGGTAGGGAGTAACTCTGCGCAAGTCTCGTGTACAGCGGAAGCTGACGTAACGACGGCTTAGTCTCGTTTCAGCTTCGGTTTGCCAGAGATCAGTCCACCGCTGCAGGCTGCTGTCGATTCCAGTCAAGTACACGGTAAGGGATAGAATTTATAGCACAACAGTACACAAGTATGCACGATGATTAAGCAATTTATCAAACAGCTGCATTTATGTTATACGCACGCTCCTCATCTGAAAATCCGTCTAGCTTGGAAACAGATACCGCCGACTGCCGAAGGCTTTGTTGGTCAGAGACAGGCTACTTCAGGAAAAGACAGCGTGGCACGAGGTTAGCAGGCCAGTGACGGGGAGGTAGAAAGGCGGAGGCTCCAGCGCACCTGCGGCTGACGCGCGGCAGGCACGCTAAGAGATGGCAGACGTCAGGTAGACCCCCCGAGACACTGCGGGTCGTTCGGACACCTTTCGGCGCCGGTACGGTCCCCGAACGTAACCAGGCGACCTTTCAACACCGCCGAAGTTCATCTAAAGTCGAGGTGATAATGTTGGGACAACAATCTGCAACCCTAGCCCCAAACACGACCACCTGTGGCTGATCGGGGTGGTGCGCCTCCCCCCATCTCCACCCTAGGCAGAGAGACAGCATAGCATGAGCGGAAATACACAGCAATGGACAAGGAGGAGAGAGATACACTTCTTGCTATTACTGATGTAATAATTGCCCGTACCGACGTCGTTGTCTGGTGTTTTAGCAAGTACACAACGCTTCGGCCGAATCTCCGGCTGTCGCCAGAAGCTTAGTTGGTGCAGCGCTGGAATGGTAACTAGAAGACCCTGGTTGGAATCTCAGCAATTCTATTTTCAAAATAATAATTGGGACTTACGTCGTACATCTGTAGCTAGCACAAAAAGCTGAGTGATCCATAATGGCAAACGCACGAAGCCAATCCATCGACGTGACGGCGGCGACCCAGGCTTGGTTAACTCAGTGGGTATCCAGTCGGCCGTGTCAGGCAGCGCGACCTGCGGCGAGTGGCCAGATTTGTACGGTGTTGTGTACTTACATAGTTGGTAACCAGATAGGGCGGAACCGTCCGCACACCAGTTTGTTTGCTTTATTGCAATCCTTGCATACTGGAAATGGTCTAAAATTGTTGGCTGCATCAAGCGCCACAAATTTGTGAAGAGCGAGAGAAGGCGCGCTTTTCACAAATGATTTGACAGGCAAAGAACGTGGGGCCTAACAATTAAAACAAAGCACTTAAGCGCTGCATGCATAGGTATGCCATTCAATTCAACCACTCATCAAAACGACGTAATCTCGATGACCGAGTAGAGCAGAGCAGGTCTCCAGATGTGGTCTCCAGATATACGGAGAATGACGAGAAGAGGCCTACAGATCATGGAGTACCTCGCCAAAGAGACAGGAACTACCCCAGGTCAGGACAGACCTCCCCTGCACGTTATTCCTACACGGCTCCTCCACGGACAACGGAAGACCCCTTCGCCACCACATAAAAACCGATGGAGTCACTGAAAGCTTGTCGTCTCACGAGAAGCATGCAATTATTATACTATAACGGTACAAATACGCAGTCACCAAGCACCACGGGACCTGGTCTGCGCAGCTCCGTCGGTCGCATGCAAAAGTAAAAGCAGGGGTAAAAATGTACTTCAGTAGCCAAAACAAATAGAAGGAGAGCAAAATGGTCTAAATAAAAATATCCAGATACATATCATGAAAAGACGCCTTGGAACATTTTCTTAAAACACTTATGAATCAAACATCACATCTAGCTTGCACCCAGTTATGCACGTGATTTTTCGGCATAGAAGCGAGAACACAACCGGTAGGCTGCCCGGAGGCGCTTAAAAGCCTAGGCAGGAGGGTCGGGAAGCGAGCTCCAGCATATCTTGATATACCTGCAAACTAGCCGCCAATTACCGAAGGTCTGATGCAAAATGTCGTCTGTGGTAAGCATGGAGATTCTAATGCGAAGTAGGAGTGCCTGCCTGCCGCCGAAAAATGGAGAAATATCCAGACTTGACCCACACTAGCCGATGAATGCGAAGAGAATTGTACGTGGGGCGAATTGATGACGCTTTGGAAGTTGGCGCACGCATAATTTGTGGATAATCGTAAGACCGAGGACATAGTGGCCAATTTATATACAAATCGTCCGTTATTAGCGCCCACGCGATAAAGCTACCGGAATTTTCAATGCAGAACATCATGAGAATGCGTTGAACAATGGCAAACACATTATTATGTGCGCTTACTGTGATAGCGCGGTGCCTGGCGCCGCCTCTGCACGGCGGACTTCGGCCGGCCGTCCCCGCCGCAGGCTATGAAAGACGATGCCGGGCTGGCTGCCGGACCAAACCGTTCAAAACGGGACTCCTGCGTGTTCACTTCAATGGCGACGGGTCAGTGAACTGCGTGTAATGGCGCTTCTGCGTAAAGCGCCGGAGTTTGACTCAGCGGTGGGGCCTTTTGGTGCGTATAGCAGGCGTCTCGAGCAATAATTCGAGGATAATGGCGTTAAGTAGGGTACTATTGCGAGTCGACGAGCCATCTTTCTGAGTGCGGCCGGAGCAAGCACTTTCGGTCTACTGGAAGACTTCATAGCCCTTGTAACGGTAGGAGAGAAGTCCTACAAAGATCTGGCTAAGATTTTGTAGGACCATTTTGAGTTACAACAATCAGTTACTGTGTCGAGATTCCGGTTCCATTCGTGCCTGCGTAATGCCGGTGAATCTGTCACTTTGTACCTATCACGATTACGCAAGCTAACTAAGCGTTGCAAGTATGACTCGTCTGTGCTGGATAAAATGCTCCGTGTTCGCTTGGTGAGCAGGATCCAGCACCAGCGGCGGTGGAGGCTCGTGCTGACTCTGGTGACTGCGGTGGAGATCGTCTAGGCCCATGAGTCAGCAGCTGCAAGCGCCGCCGAGCCCAGCGTCCGGGCGGGGCCCGCTGAGGTCATCAAGCGAGTGGAGGAGCCGGACGGAGAGGACAGCAAGCATTGAAGAACTGAAATCAGCAAGCACCACTGGGCTACAGCTGACGGGATCTGCGGTAGGACCGCACCGCCGAGGATCGGCTGACCTGTGCGCGCGAGGGTGCCCAGCGGGAGCCGCCGCCACGGGACGCCTGCGGCCGCTGTCTGAGTCGGCAGCACGTCTCGAAGGCGCGATCTGCGGTAGGACCGTACCGCCGAGGATCGGCTGACCTGTGCGCGCGAGGGTGTCCAGCGGGAGCCGCCGCCACGGGACGCCTGCGGCCGCTGTCTGAGTCGGTGGTACGTATCGCAGGCCTGTCCCTTCCGTTCGCGGCGCCATTTCTCGTGTGGCGCCATCGGCCATCCGAGGGTAGCCTGCCGCGATCGGGCAGGCCCTCAGCGTATCAGACAAGTGACTGAGAAAGAGGAGCTGTTTCAGCCGGCTGCTGCTGCGGCTGCTGCTGCGGCTGCTGAGCGGCGTCCTGCCGGCGGCGCGGGCGATCATGGCGGTGAGAGCGATCCGTATTTCCCGTTTCGAGCCCCGTCAGTCCAAGCGAGTGATAATTGTAAACTGCCTTTGATGGCTAACGTGGTGCTTGACGGTCAACCTATGCAGATGGAGTTGGACACGGGGCAGCTCCGTCTGTCTGCTCTGAGCAGGAATTTAAGCGCGCATGCCGGCGAGCCCGACATTCAACCATGTGACCAAACTCTTAACTTAGACCAAACTCTAGCTCTAGCTCTAGACCAAACTTCAAACTTATAGCGGGGAAGTGTTTTGTTGTGCGGCCAAGTGACGATGGATGCATGCTATGGGGAGCAGCGCGCACACCTGCCGCTGATTGTGGTCAAGTGTGAGTGTTCGTTTCTGTTTGGACGTAACTGGGTGTCACAGTTAAGGCTGGACTGGCCGTTCATATGTCATATGACAAGTGACTGTCAGACCGAGAGCGTC